TTCCAGGTGTGTTCCAGGTCTTCTTCATTATCACCTCTCATTTCATTGAATCTGCCATTATAATACATTTTGTTTAGACTTCCTTATAATTTTGGGTAAGTGCTGCCGTTAATTTTTTGGGCTTTTTCCCTTTAGCTATTAAACCCAATCTATATTGTTTTTCATATGTTCCTTAGCCATGGACCTAAGGTGGTATTTGTTAGCCATGGGCTACCTAGTATCTTTGTTGTGATCTGCTTTTGTTTTTAAATTAATAAGACAATGCTATTGTAAAAGCTTTTCATTTTTTTTTTGCAGAAAACAAGAAACTTTATTGGTATTTTTTTCCGCAGTCATTGAATTTCTGTTTTACTGACTTATTCATCAGTAGGAATAAAATTACTAGAGGATTTTCTGAAGTGTCCGAGTGCTGGCGCACTCACACACACTGAGGGCCGTAGTTCGAATCCCCGGTCCGGCTGGAAAACATTAGGCGCCCTGTTCACCCATTAGTATAAAATGGGTACCTGGGTGTTAGTCGATTGGTGTGGGTCGCATCCTGGGACAAAACTGACCTAATTTGCCTGAAATGCTCAGCGTAACAAACGGCTTTCTATATAGTAATATGTCATTGAGTCAGCTAGAGTAAGAATAAAGAAGAATAAAGAATTTTTAATTTTGACATGATACAGGGTTGTACAGAGGAATATAAAAGTGGTGTACATGCCAAAAGCCCCATGGTATGCAGAGCATTCGGGCAAAAATTAGAAATTAACTTAAGGGTTAGGGAAAGGGAATAATAGTTCATATGGTCATTAGATAAGTTAAAACTGAGTATAAGAGAATTTAATATTCTATTAGGTAATGCTACATGCTTGATAAATCTAGTAGAGAATAATTATACTATTGAATAAATTTTTAAAGATTACAGTACTACCCAAAAGAACAATTTAAAACAATTTTCAATATGATGTATTACAATTTAGAATTTTTTAAAACAATGAAATGTAGACATCCTAATTTTGAAGTAGTGGTAAGTGGCTGAGCACCTCCTCACCCCCAATATGAGTACTTTTGAGTAGCTGGTTGTGATTAGGTTACGTTTGTCTGGTTAATTTTGGTTGATAGGATAATTTCTTAGTAGGGGCTTAAAATGATTGCAAACAGGGTCCTTAGTGTGTTCGGCAATGAAATTTCCAAACTTCGGCCTTTTATGTGCGTGCATTTTTGCATAAAGGGGGAGATGGACACAAGGGATATCGAAGAATGATTTGTCTCTCGTATTATGGCTGGTGTTTTGTTATAGTTACTAAGGAGAAGTTTGAGAGGAGAGTTTATATTTGAGTAAAAGTGTTATGTGCAGTGCAGGCACAATAATAAGTGTGGATGTTTTGTAAATTAAGCCCAAATTATGACTTTTGAGAAGCGGTGAGTGGGGTTGTCTAATGCAGAAGTTAGTAATCAATCGTACTACAGCTTTATTATTATTATTATTATTATTATTATTTTTATTATTATATTATTTTATAGCAGTATAGTGTAGAAACTTGGGAAAAACCCAAAAAATCAGACAAAGGACTTATTTCCATTGGGGGCCTATGCAACAATAAATATTTAGGGAAGAAAGTCGTTTTTTGAATGAAATTTACTGTTAGATCAAGGGTATATAAAGGTGTTTAAAACCTGTAACCCGTAAGCAAATTGGGGAAAGCAGAAATTGATACCAGGTAAAAAACATCAACGTACCTTAGTGCCCGTGAAAAAAAACAATTTAAAAGTTACACATAGAATATTTATCTCGAGCTGTCAACATTTCTGTTGATGAACATTTTTGTCAACACGGGCTCGAATAAATTACATTTGAATTTTAAGTAATAATTCTGATTTTAATAAGCTTACTTTAAATTTAAAAGTATGTTGCATCAGTGGGAAATTTCCATTTCTTTCCTTTTAAAACCCTCGCACCCCATAGGCATACACCCCTGAATGAGTTCACGGCTTATTTTTTTTTGTAAAAATAAAAATAATAAAACAAAAATTTTATGACCAATAAAGCGCGACAGAAAGGGGGGGAGGAGTGATTTTTTTTTTTTTTTGCTAACACCATGTAAATATAAATAAATCTTTTTACCCCTTTTTTCCCTTTAAAAATCCTTTATAGTTAATAAAAGATTCTCCTAATTTATAATAAAGGTATAAAAGGGCCCCAATAGAAATAAGTCACTGTCTGACTTTTTTGGGTTTTCCCCCGGTTCTTAACAATCGCTATGTATGAAAACCTTTGTAACTGTATTTGTGTATACCGAAAAACTTATTTACTTCTTTTTAAAAGGGGAAACCTTACTGAAATCCGCTTACATACAACACTAAAGAAAAAGATAGGGGACCTAAAAAACTTACCACTACTCAATGAAAAGCAGGGGTGTCACTAGCACGTTAAGAGACAATACAGTAAGTGTCAGGGGCCCGAGACTGTTCAACTGCCTCCCAGCATACATAAGTGGGATTACCAATAGACCCCTGGCTGTCTTCAAGCAGGCACTGGACAAGCACCTAAAGTCGGTACCTGACCAGCCGGGCTGTGACTCGTACGTTTGGATTGCGTGCAGCCAGCAGTAACAGCCTGGTTGATCAGGCTCTGATCCACCATGAGACCTGGTCACAGACCGGGCCGCGGGGGGTTGACCCCCGGAACTCTCTCCAGATAAACGCCAGGTATAAAGAAGCTTCTCATGTGTTGTCACCAATTATTGCAACTCTTTTTAACAAATCCATTGAATCTTCCACCTTCCCATCCATACTCAAGACAGTAAGAGTCACTCCGATCCTCAAAGGAGGTGATCCAACTGAATTGAACAGTTATAGGCCTATATCAAACCTGCCCTTACTAATTATTATTATTATTATAATCAAAAAGAAGCGCTAAGCTGCCCTTACTAAAATCTTCGAAAAATTAATACACAAACAAGTCTACTCCTACTTCGTATCCCACAACATACTCAATCAACCCTTGTCAGTTTGGGTTCAGACCGAAAAAAAAGTACTAATGATGCTATTATACATATGCTTGAACTAATATACTCTGCACTCGAGAAAAATGAATTTCTCCTGGGACTGTTCATAGACTTACGAAAAGCTTTTGATACAATTGACCATGACCTTTTGCACCAAAAACTTGAACATTACAGGGTCAGAGGACACTCGATTACCCAATGGAAATAAAGGACCCCAATGGAAATAAGTCACTGTCTGACTTTTTTGGGTTATCCTAGGTTCTCTACACATATGCTGCTATGTACGATAATTCTATGTAACTGTATTTGTGTATACCTGAATAAACTTACTTACTTATAACAATAGAACCCAGTATGTATGCACAAATGGAGCCTGTTCCACTACCCAACCTGTTCTTGTTGGAGTCCCACAGAGGAGCGTTCTTGGCCCACTTCTCTTTCTCATTTACATCAATGACCTACCAAACGCATCTAATCTCCTTTAACCCATTTTATTTGCAGAGGACACAACTTATGTATTTTCTCACCCAAACTCAACCGTACTAACAGACACAGTAAATGTTGAACTGCTAAAAATATCTACTTGGGTGATTACCAACAAACTTACTCTTAATATAGACAAAACCTACTTCATGCTTTTCGGAAACAGAGCTTAAAATTTGCACAGCTAAACATATTGATAAATGGTTCATCTATCTCGAGACGGGCAGAGGGCAAAAATTTCTAGGTCTCCACCTTGACTGCAGTCTCAATTTCAGACACACATACAGCAATTTCCAAAAAAGTCTCCAAAAGAGTAGGCATTCTTTCAAAAATACGTTGCTATGTACCACAATCAGCTCTTTAGCCTTGTACCACTCTCTCATTTACCCTTCCCCTCACCATAGAAATCCCCTTTTAAGCTTTAATAACCAGCAAAAAACTGCAGTGTGATTGATTACTAACTCCTGCATTAGACAACACACTCCACCACTTTTAAAGTTTTAACCTGCTAAATATACAAAACACCCACACTTATTATTGTACCTACTACATACACAGAACACTACTCTAATGTAAACCTCCTCTCAAACTCCTGATAACTAATAACAAACAAAACCATAATACGAGACAGATCACTCTTCGATATTCATCGTGTTCTCTCTCCCTATATTAAAAATACTATGAAACGTAAAAGGCCCGAAGATCTGGATTCTTTGCCAGAACAAACTAAAGGACATCTGTCTGCAAATCAGTTTAAGGCCCAAATAAGAAATCACCTCATCACCCAATATTAACCAGACAAACCATACATAACCACTACCAGTTTCTCAAAAGCTACTATATTGTGCTGATGAATGCTCAACCACTTACTACTTCGAAATTAGGATATCTTTTTCTTTTCATTGTTTTAAACAGTTGTAGATTGTAATACAGTACATCATAATGTAAATTGTTCCACTGTAATACCAAATTTCATTGTTTTAAATAGTACTGAACTGTAATACATCACATTGTAAATTGTTTAAATTGTTACATTTTAATACTGTAATCTTTATTAACTAATTCAATAGAGTAAAGTCTCTCCAGACTTATCAAAACCATGTAGCATCAACTGACATAACATTCAATTCTCCTGTACTTTAATTCATCTAATGACCATATAAACTATGTGTTATTGACTTACTGTTTTTAAAGTTAATCTTTAAGTTTACCCGAAATGTTCAGCATACAGAGGGGCTTTTGGCATGTACACCCAGCTATTATATTCCTCTGTTACAACCATATAATTTGTCAAAAAAAAAAATCTAAATCTAAATCTAATCTAAAAATGACTCAATGAATGGACAGGAAGACTGCCGGTTACTCAGATATCTAGAGGAAATTCTTTTTATATTATTGTCCGAGTCTACTGCTGACAACGCAGAGTTGTTATCTTTTTCCTTTTACGGACTATGCCTTCACCAGTTTATCAGTGCTATTATACATTTGAAGGGCGTAAATTTAAAAGTAAAGTGAGTGCTGGAGTGTGCCGAGGCGGGTGGCTGCTCTCACACGTCATGGACGCAGCATTGTGGGAGTATCGACGTTTGTTTCTGCTATCAGTCAGCTGAGTGAAGCTTGTTTATCACTGGCCTGACCTGGCAAAGTGTCGCACGTTTCTGTATGTCTGCGAGGTAGGTCACTTGTCTAAGGCACGTGAGATATCTGAGTGCACGAAAGAAAAGTCGTAAGATGGGTTTGGCATACCTGAGGTAGTGAGAGGAAGCATAGCACAGTGTTGGTAGCCAGGAGTGTGTGTACTTCACTCTACCTACCTAAACCCGGCACTCAGGGATGTACTATATTACAGCCTCTAGAGTGCCTGTCAGTCTCATATATGCTTGGCACTGAGTAATACAATGCTCTTAGCTTTTCATTTTCTCATAGTATCCTAAAGTGTCACGTAAATTAACTACGTTAACATGGAGAACCTATTTAACATTCTCAGCCTCGTTGACCTTGGTACAGTGTCTTTGCCCTCAAATATTTACCATGTTTTATACTGTATAATTAGTATATCCAATTTCATTTCAGAGAGTACAACCACCATATAATTTTTTTAAAATACAAGTATTAGTTTTATAGTTATTACTGTAATAGCTAGGCTGCAAATTTAAAAGTTTACAAGGCCCCCCATTGAGAATAAGTCATTGTGACTTTTTGAGTTATCCAAAATAATTTATACGTATGTTACTGTGTATGATATTGCAAATTGCAATCACATAAACTTGTGTAACTGTACTTATGTGTAAATGTCCCAAAAATAAACTTGTTTATATTTTTCATTCTCCTTTATGTTATATTTTTAATGTAAAGAACAAAAGAATGAAGGAGCACTGCAGCAGGCATACTGGCTGATGCTAAGCACTTACAAGTCACACCCACCCACATCCACATTGTCCCACCTTTCCACACCTGTAGTATCACAAAATGATACTACACGAGTATCACTAAGTGATACTACTATGATAATGCCTGGGGGTTTGTTTTGCTTATTTATAACTATGGCTAAGCCTTTGCTTCCCAGTATCTTTTTAAATTTTAAATTTTCTCAAACTTTAATTCATTGCTGTGAGTCCTGTCTTACTGGAGTTTAGTGGAGATGGGTTTCATGGGTCCACCCCCCTGCGGCCGGTCTGAGACCAGGCCTCATGGTGGTCAGGGTCTGATCAACCAGGCTGTTACTGCTGACCGCACACAAGGTAACGTATGAACCACAACCTGGGTGGTCAGGTACTGACTTTAGGTGCCTGTCCAGTGCCTTCTTGAACACAGCCAGGGGTCTATTGATAATCTCCCTTATGTATACTGGGAGGCAGTTGAACAGTCTTGGGTCCCGGACATTTATTGTGTTGTCTCTCTATGCACTCGTGGTGCCCCTGCTTTTCATCGGGGGAATGTTGCATCTCCTGCCGAGTCTTTTCCTTTCATAGGGAGTGATTTTCGTGTGCAGGTTTGGTGCCAATCCCTCCAGGGCCTTCATTTGAAATTTTCAGCATGCTTTGTGTATCCCCTTTATTTATTCCTGTTTTTCATTTGTACACTTCACTCGTATCTCCTCAAATTCTACGTCTTTCCAAAGAGTGCAAGTTCAGTGCCTTCAGCCTTTTTTTTTTTTTTTTTTAAAGAAGAGGTTTCTGATACATGAAATCATCTCTGTCTCTGTTCTTTGTATAGTTTCAAGTGCATTTGTCTATCCTCTAATGTAGAGACCAGAACTGAGAAGTATAATCATAATGGGTCAAACCAAAGATATTTTAAAAGCTGAGTTAACCCTTAGGACTTCTATTATTTATACTTGATATGAAGCCAAAAATCAATTAGCTTTATTGCGGTCACACATGAATTATTGTTTCGGCTTTAAATTTCTGCTAACCAGACCTCCTAGATGTTTTTTGTTAAGTAAAAGGACACACATGCAACTAATGTGACATTTTATTGTGGCAACATTTCACTCTCCTGGAGCTTTATCAAGCTTTTTACAAACAATACACAGACACGGTATATATAGGCTTAGAGCGAGGTGTAGTACTAGTGGTGGTAGTAGTAGTAATATTAGTTGTAGTAATACAATATGATAGAACAATCAACTTGCACATGAGTAAAAGGTTATAAAAGCTATTACTTGGGTATCAAAAAAAATGGGTTTTAGACAGGTATTTCTGTTGGAGGTTGGATTAGAGAAGGTCTGTATTAGTGTTCATCCTCTGTAATGTGCTTGTGTAGTATTAGCAGGAGAGACTGTGATGGCAGGGTTTAATGTTTTCAGGAGTACTCTCACTAAGACTTCAGAGATGATGAAGCTGCCTTTGTTTTGTTTAATTGTGTTAGAAACAGCCATTGATGCTGATTCAAGGCACTTTCATCTACAGAAATTAGTTTCTTTGATCACTAATTGGGTGTCCCTGAATTTCATGAGATGATTGGTGAAATTTCGATGTTGTACACAGGTATTGTTCAAGTTATTGTTCCTGCATGCATTAATGTGTTCATTGAGGCATGTTTCAAGGTATCTTGTTGTTTTACCTACATAAATCCTGTTGCAGCCTCCGCAGGGTATAGTGTAAACCCTTGCATTGACTGGTTCATTGTGCTTGGATTTTGTCCTGGTTAGATCCTTCATTGAAGTGCTGGAAGTGATGACGATTCTAGTGTTAGCTTGTGCTAGTACTTTAGAAACGTTCAGTGCAACCTGGCTGTTGGGAAGAATTATAACTTTGTTAGGAGTGGTGTTGATGTGTGGAGAATTAATGATCTGAAGAGCTCCTTTCTTTCAGTCTTTGATGAAAAAGGAAGGAAAATGTAAATCAGTGAAGGTTTGGTGAATATATGTACATTCCTCATCCTAACCAGGACAAAATCCAAGCACCCATTACTTGTGTTTGATTTGTTGGCGTGTTTGGAGTTTTGGGAATCCTTTAAAGTGAATGTTTACTGTACGTTATGGGGAAGTGTTTGTTTCTGGTGAATATCTTTATGCTACTGTGTTGCCAGGCAGTTGCAATGCAGTATTTGACATTCACGAGTACATGCCCTTGTATTGTAAACCAAAAATGTCACTTTTTTTGTAGAATATAACTTCTATCTTTTTTTTTTTTTTTTTTTTTTTACTCTTTACAGGCAGAATGGGTGGGAGTCACAGACGTGGTGTGCGAATCCTCTTGATTGGGGATGCAGGTGTAGGAAAAACCTCTCTTATACTCTCCTTAGTTTCCGAGGAATTTCCTGAACAAGTTCCCCCACGAGCAGAAGAAATAACAATCCCCCCAGATGTGACCCCAGAAAAAGTCCCCACACATATTGTAGATTATTCTGGTAAGTTTTTATCTAAGGTACATCATTCCTAATTGATTTTTTGTTATTTCTATTACTGGCAATATATAATTGTCACAAGAATTATTTATTGTATTGGTGACAGTGGGAATATTGGAGCCATGAAAATAAGTTACGGGGGACAGAGCAACTAATTTTGGAAAATCTGGAAGTGAAAAAAAAAGTTATACTTTTTAGAAAAGAAATAAAAAGATTGTAAAATAAATAAGGATAACTATTAAAGCAAGTTACCAATTCATTCATATAATGCATGCATACATACTGTACATACATTATTTAACACACTAGCCATCTCCCGCTGAGGTATGACCCTGGTAGGTTTAGCGCTTCTTTTTGATTATAATAATCCCATTGAAGTAGGATGACCCAAAAAAGAGGAAACACATTCACCATCATTCATTCAATCACTGTCTTACCAGATGTATACTGACAACACAGTTCAGATAACTCTCCGAACTGCAAAATCCTCACCCATCCTTCAGAGTGCAGGTACTAGATTTCCCCATTTACATGGTCATACATATATGCATACATACACATACAGGACATGTGATGGAGCTTCAGCGTGTCATAAACATCTGTCAGTGGTAGAAGGAAACTCGTATGTAGCTGAAAGTTAGACACAGGGATGTCAGGAAATACAGTATTTCTCATCTCATACATAGTTTTAAGAATAGGTATGATAGGGTCCATGAGGCTAGGAGATAATGAATTTGGCAAGCAGCAAGTTGAGAGGCGGAGCTAGAGGTAGGACTCGGCCTCTGTAACCACATATGTACTAGTATAGGTGAGTATGTGCATACATATGTATATACTTACATACGTGCATACATACGTATATACTTACATATGTGCATACATACATATGCATGAATGCATGCAGCAGCAAGGTTGATTTGCAGTTGACCATCGGTTAACAAAAAATCGGCAGAACAAATGTGAAAATTAAGGTTGTTTTTTTTTTTCCTGTAAATTGGCAAGGAATGTAATATAGCTTATGTGGAGCAAAGAAACATATTGGAAAAAATAGGGTTATATTTAGGACACTCAAATTTTTCCCAAACAATTTTTTTTTTCTATTATACTAGGAAAAAATTAGTACAGTAGCATAGTATAACTTACCATACATTCTGGCAATGTTTTCTTATTAATGTGGAAAGGTATGGAGAGGACTAATGTGAGCCTCCTGGGCTGAGGTGGATGGTTGATTCTCTTGCACAAGAAACACGGGCAGTCTCCATCACAATGCCCCCCCCCCCATCAAAGCATTTCAGAGAGTTCCACTTTCTTCAGTGCAGTCATAGATTTATGCTTATTCTTTTTTTTTCTTGGCACCTCCAGTATTACTAGTACCCCTCTTGGGTGTCATGGTAATATCCAGAGAAGATGGAGTGGGGAAAATGTAAAATTGTTTGATAACCAGTGCATGAGGCAGGTACCAGAAAATGATTGTAGGCTGTGAGAGTGGACCCACCTACCCAACTGAGTGAAGATGGGAAAAATTCCAAAGACATATACTTTATTACTATTCAGATTTTGTACATAACTTGATGCTGTGGACACTAGGGGTGTAGAAGAGTATCGGTATCTTTGGTCATCGGCTAATTTAATGGTGTTATACGGGCTTACCATATGTATTAATATCAAAGGTATTCTGTTTTAAAATATTAATTTTCATATGGTAACCACTGCATCACACTTATTTTGCCACAGTACTGAAAGGTTTGTCATACATAATTCCATGTCTTCATTGCAGAACGGGAGCAAAGTGTTGATCAGTTACGCTCCCAGATAACGATCTGATTTTAAAGTGTGGTCTACAGTGTTGAGGATGAGGACACATTAGACAGAGTCACTTTCCATTGGCTACCCTTAATCAGATCAACTTTAGGCCAGCAGCACCCCTATTCCAGTCATCCTAGTTTGGGAATAAAGGGTTTACCTTGTAGATTATTCTACCATGGAAGTAAGTTCTGTATTATATTATGTATTTATTCCAAAATTGGCATTTTTCACCAAAGCAGGGTGCCCCCCAAAAAGTAAAATACATTCTGTACTTGTATTTTTATTTTTTTTTTTTTAACATGATAGCTGTCTCCCACTGAGGCAGGTTGACCCCAAAAAAACACTTTTGCCATCATTCAGCACTTTCACCATTATTCAGCACTTTCAGCATCATTCACACAATATCACTGTCTTTGCAGAGGCACCCAGATGTGACAGTTTAGATGTCACTCCCCAAAAAGCCAATATCCCAAACCCCTCCTTTAAAGTGCAGGCATTGTACTTTTCACCTCAGGACTCAAATTTGGCTAACGATTTCCTGAATCCTTCACAAAATATTACCCTGCTCCACTCCAACAGCTCGTCAGGTCCCAAAACCATTCGTCTCCATTCACTCCTATTAACACACTCACATATGCCTGCTGTACGTCAGGCCCCTTGCCACAAAATCTTGTTTTTTGGTGTTAGTCCTCAAATGGTCTCTAATTATATGAAATTTGAAAGTTACAAAAATTTGGGACCTCAGAGGTTATTAGCAAATGATATTTGGAATCCTAAGGGATGGCCACTATTTTATAAACCCTTTCACTGTTCCAGTAACCTATGTCTTGATGCAGTGTTTTCATGTAGATCTAGTTTAAGCACAGTCTCTCAAATTATGTTTTTGTGGTATTTTTAATAGGTGAGAGATGGTCTGTGCGTGATGTGCACAGTATTAAAAATCCTGACCCAAGAGTGCATGATTGGAAGGGAAAACTATTTACTTTGTGTTTGGTTTAAATAGCAACTTTAAGGTGTTTTCTAGGGTGTTTTTTTGGCTGTTTCTTGGTATCGATTATTAGAATGGAATATGAGATGATTTGGTCATTTTCAGGACAGAAGTAGTTGAAATTTTGACTCAGAGTTGGGGGGAATATTAATTTTTTAAAAATTTTCCTGGGGAAGAGTAAACCTCCTCCCCTTCTGGGATGGAATTAAAGAAGTTTTACTTTTGCTGTGCTTCAATTATTGGATGGTCTAAACCATGACCGATCATTCTTGGCTGTATTTTATTTCTGGAATAGGATAAAACTTAAATTTCTTTGTGTATACCTTTTGATAGGTAATCATAAATATTTTTTTAACTTGATGTCAGTGATGTAATTGTATATATAATAATGGTGTCAGCTTTGTTTTTGGTTTCAATTTTCTTGCACTTAACTTAATTCACATTTGAGGGCCTCTACGTAATTTAATTTGGTTTTTCATGTTTTTTATTATGTTAAAATTCTTAAATTTTCTTGCAGATTGTATTGCAGTATGATGGAATATCCCAAAACGAGACGTGCTTGAAGTAAAGCTTAGTAGATTATTTGTTTTTGTGGTCTGTGAGAGTTCTATTTTTTTTTTCTCATTAGAATGAGGAACTGAGTGATGGAAAGCATGATTTGAGATGTGGAGTGTGTCTCTGTTTGTTTACATAATGAGTTACTAATTATTGTCGCATTTTAAAGTGATTAGAAAAACTAAGGAATCTGGTGTTTGATGGAGATGGAAAGTCTCCTCATGTTATGTTTGTTTAACCCCTTTTTCTGTTTCGGCCGTATTTATACGTCTTACGAGTACTGTGTTTGGTATAATATACTCAAAATTCTAGCGCTTCAAATCAAGCAGGAGAAAGCTGGTAGGCCCACATGTGAGAGAATGGGTCTGTGTGGTCAGCGTGCACCTATAAAAAAATCCTGGAGCCGCAGTGCATAATGAGAAAAAAACCACCGTTTTTTTTTTTTTTAATTAAATGCCGACTTTGTGGTCTATTTCGTTTAGTATTATGGTTGTATTCTTGTTTTTGGGCTCATTTGATAGAATGGAAAAAAATATTATTGAAATAGGATGATTTTGATTTGGGTTTTGTTTGATATTTGCCGATGTTCAAAAGTAAACAAATGTGTCTTGTCCAAAAATGTCCACTTGGGCCCTTCTGATAGCATCATAATAGGTTGACATTATTTGTACAAATTTTTCAATATTGCAGTGTCTGCATAAGAGTAAATCTTATTTTTTGTTTGAATAAAAATTCAAATTTGAAGCAAGGTAATATCAGAGGGGCCTTTAGATGTGACGATGAACAAAAAAATGTTATTTTAGAGCCAGGATGTCTGCATTGGTTCATTCTGGGCCTTATTTAATTGTCATATTTTTTAATTTTGTGAAAATTTGGGCCCAAAAAGCAAATTTCTGACACGTTATTGGGTATTGAAATCAGTATATGGGCAGTTTTGTACTCATTTGATAGGAAAAAATGAGTTCTAAGAATTTGCTTGTGTTTGTCGATGGACATGGAATTAGCCGAAACGGGATCAAAAATGGGCGAAATCGGCCGATTGTAAATATGCGAGGTCGCTAATCGCGAGAGCGTAATTCCTTAGTTTGTATCAAATTTCTTTTCTTTTTTTTTTTTGGTGTCATTAACAATGGGTAGATTTTCTATCAAAAGATTTTTTTTTTTTTTTTTTTTTTTTTGAAATTTGCGACACCAGGAGGCACTCAGGATTGGGGTTGTGACAGTCAAGGGTTAGCTCTTCAGTGTTTTATAATACAGTGACCCCCGTTAACGAACTTTTTTTATTCCAGTGTATGTTCAGGTTTCCATTACTGGGCCGTTTTTTCCATAAGGAATATTGTGAAGTAGATTAGGGCCATTTAGACCCCAAACATCACGTAACACGCACTTACATAAATACATTACATATTGGTCGATTTGGAGGTTTATTGTTAAGCGGCGGTCCACTGTATTCCCTTCTGAAAGAAATGTGGTGCTTGATAATGAGGTGCTAGTTTTCACTGTAAGTTCTGGTGAGTGAGAATGTCACTTTAATGTGAATACTGTAATGTCAAGAAGCCTTGAGAAAGCTAACATGTTCGTTTTTTTTAAATTCACAAGCTGTTTTCTTATAGAAGTACTCACAACATTTCAATGTCGTTTTTTTTTAAAGTGT